GGGCCGTAGTCTGCTAGACCGCCACCCCCTTGGTGACTCTTGATGAAGAAGTCTTGTTTGTTTCACTATTCTTCCCTGAAAACTAGACACTTTTCACAGCATGTTACCGCAATCTGCCCCTCGATTTCCATTCAGAATGGAAATCGAGGGGCAGAGAGTGTCTTTGAGCATATTCCCTGTGTTCAGTCCTGGCTTTCCTGGCTTCTACAGGACTAGGCTGGCTTTATGCTGTGGCCTTGGCTTCCACACATAGCAGCAGAGGTTCAGTGATTGGACAGATGGATGGACAGTGCATAGAGGACTCCGTTGCTGTTGACCCTGTCTGAGTCCCATATGGCCATGGTCTTTCAGGAAGTAAAAAGACCTGGTGCCTGCATGCGCTTCCTCTACAATTTTACTGGAGCTGGAGGTGGCTCATCTGGGGACCCATGGTGAAGCATCCCTGGCCAGGTGTAGAGGGACTTCCCAGAACACCATGTATAGCATCACGCATGTCACTTCGTCACAGAGTGGAGGGTGGGAGTGGGGGCTGACAGCAAACGGACCAAGACGGCTTTCTGGTCTTAATAGGTCTTGGCTCTTTTCTATTCTGAAAACTCTGCTTTGTGTCACACTCCTTAGCATCTGTGTGTCACCAAGGGTTGGGGGTAGCTGAGTGTGTGCGTGTGCATGCGTGTGTGTGCATGTTTGCGTGCATGTGTGTATTAAGATATCAGCAGCTGCCATCAGGAACAGTGGAGGAAGATAGGCCTAGCTGTGAGTGACGAGCCCAGCTCACAAAGTCGGCATCTGATCCGCTATCCTGGCCAGGCTCTCCAGGACAGCACTATGGATGGGATCCCCAGGTCTTCGGCCATTTCTTCCTGCTGTGCTGTACGGTTTGCTTGTTTCTCTATAAACTGTGATATTGTCTAATCTAAGAAAGTGTTGGAGTAAAAATTTTACTCTGTGCCCTCATGCAGTTATTTCTTAGAGTTTTTCCATTCCTTTCACCCACTCACCACCATTGACCCAGATCCTGCCCACCAGAATTGCTTGCTAGCAAGGAGACAAACCCACGGACAAAGGAGGACCTCTATAAATTTTATTAATCTGGAATTGGTCCTCAAACCACAGTTTGTAAAACACCATTTTATGAGAAAAGAAGATGGGATAAAGACAGAAAAGGACACCTTTGGAAACAATAACACTGTGGTGTGACCACAGGCTTGCACGCCAGGAGTCATGAGTTCTAATCCTAAATGGATTTCCCAAGGCACAGCGGCAGAGCTGAATGGAAAAGTGCAGCAGAAAGCCCTTGGCCAGCCATTCTTTCATTCATCTCCCTTCTGCATTGCCCTGGTGCAGAAATGGGCCTGTGTCCCAGCCACCATAAGTGACCAGCAACACACAGGGACAGTGCCTGTGCAACTGGAGAGAGGCTGGTCACAAGCATGGGCAGTGCAAGTGGGAAGAGGCTGCTTTCGGTCTATGAGCTGGGAGGGGTCCCTGGGAAAGGCAGCACTGCAGCCAGGCCTGTGAGCACTGGGTGGGTCTCTGACCTTGGAGATGAGTGGGGGACTGGCTCCCAGGTCCAGGTGCAGCTCTGAGGATGCCTCAGAACCTGGAGGATATGGAGAAAAGGCTGGCACTGGGCAGGGCACATTCTGAGAATGTGTGTTCTCACCAGCAGGGTTCCCGGAGTGTTGCTGGAGTGTTTGGACTCTTAAGTTCAATCTCTTTTGTTCAATAAGGAGTCGATGAAGGATTTGACCCTTCTAGTGTTTGAAGATGGTTAACCTGGCAGTGGCCCTGACCTGGGAGAACAGTCCCTGTGCTGTGGCCCAAGTCCAGAGAGGCAAGCCATGACAAAACTGTGAGCAAATGCCCCTCTGGAGACCTGGCATCTCTTGTACCAGCTCCTGGGGAGGGTGGAGATGTGGCTGCCTGGAGGAAGCCGAGGATACAGGCTCAGAGGAAGGGTGAGTGACCAAGGAGTGGGAATTCTTTCCATGCTTTTGATACTTTCTAAGGCTGTTGGCCAGGTCTAAGGGATTTTAAGAGACTTTTCGTTATTCTTTGTGTGTCCTTTTCCTGGACCAAAGGCTGTGTGTAAAGCACATGATCTGAAAAGTTTGCTGTCACTTTAAAAAGTTCTGCTAAGCCCTTCAGTCACGTGCCTTCAGAGCTGAGGTTACATAACGCTGCTCTGGCCTGGGATTCTGCAGCCTCATGAGCTGGAGTGTCATCCTCTCCTCCCCAACCTGGCACTTTGTTTTCTATGGGTCAGGGTTAGCTTCTTTCTAACCGTTGTTGCGGAACTCTTTCAATATTTGGTCTCACAGGTTCTAAGCACTGGCAGGCCAGGCTGCTCCCTGCAGGTTATGAGCCCAGAGCTTTCCAGAAAAAGAGCCAGCAACCTCCCGGGCATGGCAACAGTGTGCAGTAGCCGGCCAGCTAGTGCCCCTGGGGCCCTGGGGCCAGGCTCCTGAGTGCTGAAGCTGGCAGTGCCCAGCCTGTGGCCCATGAACCTGGAGAAGCCCTCCTGCTCCACAGTGCAGTGATGACCACGGATTAGACAGCTGGCTATCAGCGCTGTCACTGGGCCTGTTGGGGTCACTGGGTTCTCCCGGCTTACCCTGGTGTAAGGGCAGGCTCAGAGCCTCATCGGGAGCCCGCTGCCCTCAGCATCTCAAAGCTGGTTCTCCAAGGCATCCCGGGCTGCAGCCTTGGTTCTGTGATGCTGGGGTTCCTCAGAGTGCATATGTATTTATTTTATAGCCTGTGTTTTTTCCAAATGACTTTAGACAGCTAATTAAGTATTAAATAAGGTGCAGTGACTTTCTTAAAATTATAAAATTGGGCAAAAGGATCTTTGAGTAGGAAAATCAGGTATAGCCAGAATAGCTCATGAACCAAACTACAAATAAAGTCTTCTAAAGGCAAGTTACAAAATGCTTTCTTCTGAGTTTCCTAGCAGTCAAGGCAAAGAGAGAAACTTAGGGATAAAATTCGAGTATCAGCAAAATGCAGCCCAGCAGCTCAAGGCGCTCTTTGCACTGTGCACAGCCCCACCCTCCACCCATGCTTGTGGAAGAGCCCCACATGGTTGCCTGCACTCCTGCTGTCATCTACTACCTGCAGCAACAGCACAACCATGGAGGGTTTCTCATGGTGTCTGCTGAGGATAGGCCTGGTGGCAAAGCCCCTTGTAGGTCAGGGCCCCACTGAGACTGTACAGGGTGTCCAGGGTAGGTGTCCAGGGCCGGTCACGTCTTTTCAGACCCTGTGCAAGAGCCTGGCTCTGGAGAGGTGCTCTGTCAGGTGCACAAGGCCAGGCAGGAGCTGTTGGTGCTGGCCTCTGTGGAAAGGCTGTAGTAGTCCTGTCATTAGGGAGCCAGCCCAATACTCGCCACACTTATTTGACTAACCAGGCCTTTATAGCCGGGCATAGTGGTGCATGGCCGGTAATCCCAGCATTCAGGAGGCTGAGGCAGGAGGATCTGTGTGAGTCCAAGGCTCGTCTGGGCTACATAGCAAAACCTTGTCTCAAAAACCTTGTCTGAAAAAAAAAAATGACCTTTTAAAAAAATTTAAAACACTGAGCATGTTAGGAAACACTACTCCAAAATTAGTCAGCAAAATTTCTATTAAAGGCCACATAACACATTTGTTCTTCGGTGCTGTTGGACCCCGACCTTTCATTGTACTAGCCCTTGCACTTCCCCTAAGCTACCTCCCAGGCCCTCGAAGGACATGGTTTAGGCCTCTGTCCCTGTCACAGCTAGGTACTCTTATCATATCAGAGAGGCATGGCTAGATTCCAGTCAAGCTTTATTTATGGATAGAGAAGCTTGAATTTCCTGCAATTTTGTGTGTTATGAAGTAGTTTTCTTTTGATTTTTTTTTTTTTCAACCATTAAACAAATGCAAAAGCTGCCCTTAGGCCACAGGCCATTCAGAATCAGAGGGCAGCTGAGTCTGGGTATGAGCAATAGTCCATCCTCGGTGGGAAGACAGGTCAGGTTCTGATCATCAGACTTGGTGCTTCTGGTTCAAAAGCAAACATAAATGAACAAAATAGTACAGGATGCTGGCCTGAGGGTTTCCTCAGAATTGGCTGTGGGTCCTCTCGGGGAAGCTGGTCTGCCTGGCATGCAGCCAGATCGTCCCAGGCTAGTAGTGTCCTTGTGGGTTATTGGTCATACATTTGTCCATTCATTCCTGTCATTCACTCATTGTATTCACAGAAACCAGCCTCACAGGCCCTCGGAAGCCCTGGTTAACCTCCACGTAAACTGGTAAGCCAGCTGCCGGCTCCTCAGGCTTTGGAGGAGCCTTGTCTGGCATCTGATAGGAGGACCCAGACATTCCCAACAGCCCATCCAACACTAGGTTTGGTTTCCCCAGGACCCATGGCATACTTGGAGTGTATGAGCCATCTGCCCAGGGTGTGCAAGGGTACAAAGAGGAGCAGCAGCATACAAGTCCTTCCTTATGTTGTGAACCAAGTTCAAGGTTTCTGGCAACCTACTGTGGATTTCACCACTACACCTTCGTCCAGCATCCTCTGTCCCAGGCCCAGACACAGCCTGGGAACACTTTCTAAGGCCCTCAATGTTTCTTCCTCTGGCTGTACTTCTTACATCCTCTTTTACACTATGGGACAGAAATTACTACTGGATGTCCTGAGACTCCAGCCTTTGTGTCCCCATGTTGTGTGCAACTCTCCTGGAAATGCTTAGCTTGCCAGGTGTGGTGGTACACACTCAAGAGGCTGGTGCAGGAGGATTGTCGTGGCCCTGTGCACACAGTTTTCACTCAGTTCACAGAGAACAGGCGCCCAAGCCTGTTCACCAAGCCTCACGTTCTGTCCCCCGTTGCTCCCTTTGGGGAAGAGATTACAGCATTCCTCTCTGCTTATAGCACATGTGCCCAGCCACCTTGTTTAATGCTGCTCTGTGCAACACAGGCATTGCTGTGGGTGTCCCTCCGCTAACTCCCTCTTCTGTCTCTCCTAGGAAAGACTGCGTCTTCACTATCGACCCACCCACTGCCCGGGACCTCGATGACGCCCTCTCCTGCCGGCCGCTTGCTGACGGTAGGGTAGACCCTTCCTGCCATCCTGGGGCGGGCGGTCTGTGCACACCCAGGCAGTGTGACAGGCAGGGTTGGGTTTATCTAGTTCCTCAGCTTGCTGTGGCCTCTGAGCCTGCAGCCCTGTTGAAGGTTCAGGTCGTGTTTCTGGGAGGCTTTGGCAAGGGTGGGTATGAGAACCATCTGTTACTCAACCTTCCAGTTTGGGTGGAAGGAATGGTGGAAATGCAGAGGCCTCAAGGCTTCCAGGTGGCCGGGGCCTCAGGGGCCTCCTGCAAGATGGCTCCACACTGGGCCCAGGAGGTTCCTGCAGGCCGCACCCAACAGCACTTGTACCCTCATACCTTGGGAAAGGCAGGCTCCTGGAGTTCTCCGACCATTCTGTGGTGATATTGCTAGGCTGGAAAAAGCAAGATGAGGTCTAGGGTCTTTGACAGCAGAAGTAGGACACAGCGACAGTGCCAGCTGACTCTCAAAGGGAACATGTGAGTGGTGGCCATGCCTGGAACCCCAGAGCCTGAGAAGCTGAGGCAGGAGGATGGCAAGTTTGAACCCAGCCTGGGCACTAAGCAAGACCCTTTCTGAAAATACACAATAAGAACGGATGAGGGTGTAGCTCAGTGAGAAGGCCTGGGGCTGAATCCCCAGTGCTGGGGTGTGGGACGGCGACAGGAAAAGCACGCAGTGTGCAAGGAGGGTAAAGTGCGTCCATCCCTTGTCATGCCCCAGATGTGCCATCTCTGGTCTCCAGCTGTTTCTTGCCCTTCTTTAGCATGAGGTCCATGGCTCTGGTCATTCTTGAAAGCAGCCATGACACTGAGCTGCCGCCGATGGTTTGCTTGCGACAGGTATCTAGCACTTCCGACTCTGCTGGCTGCCAGCCTCCATGCCCACTGCAGGGCACCCAGCCCCCAGGCTGCAGCTCCCTGCCAGGAGAGGTGGTGCTGCTCTGGTGGGAAGCTCAGGGCCGCCTCTAGCCCCGCCCTGCCCATGACTATATTTATCATCATCTTTCCTCTCCTTTAAACTCTGGGCAAGACTAGTCAGCGTCTTAACTTTTCTAAAAAGGAGATAAAGCAGAAGGTGGGAAAGGTTCCCACAGAAATTTTAGAGAAGTTATATATTTTTACAGTTTAAATCAGAGCAGCCCATTTACAAAAGCAAATGCCAGCTCGATTTCCGAGGTCCTGAGGCCCCGTGCTGTGCCAAGGCTCAGGCAGGTGCTCTGTGTGTGGATACCCCCACCCCAGTCCCAGTGTGCACAGGGCCAGGCAGATGGCCCACTGGCTGGGGACTGCCCTTTCCTGCTGGGTCCCAGCTTGGCACTAGTAGTCGGCAGGTGCTTAAAAACAGCTGCTGCTGAGGCATGGGGACTGCTCTGAGTTCGAGGCCAACCTGGGTTACAGGGTGAGTAGAAGGCCATCCTAAACTACATAGCAAGACCCTGTTTCAGAAAAATAAAAGAAAAAAAGCAGCTACTGCATCCGTGCTCTGCTGGCCTGGACCAGGGGTGGCACCTGTCCTGTACCCACTCTAAACGCAGCAGCCTGTGTCTAGGGCGCAGGCTGCCAGCAAAGATTTCGTGGAAGAAAGGATAAAACAAATAAGGCAGAGAGGTGGATTGAGGGAACTGTCACAGGGATCTGTGTAAAAGTTGTTTGGCTGTTCAGTCAACACGAGAAAAATAATCTAGAAGTGCAAAATGAAAGAAAAGGAGAGGAAGCAGAGGCAGGAGGATGAGTCAGATAAACTGCCGGGGGCCTGGCCTGGAGACTTGGGGCATGGCTGACATGGGGAGCAGACCCTGAGCTGATGCCAAAACTTCAACCCGGAGGGGAAGAAGGAGCCCAGGTCAGAGATGGAAGGCCGGTGGCCGCGCTGGGCTAGGAAGAGCCTATGTGTGTGGATTGGGTGTCTGGTGATGTGTGTGTGCATGAGCACTGCACGTCCTCTTCCAAAGAGGTGGGAAGTAAATAAGCTACGTAGACACGGTCATGTCAACCATATGCTCGGGACCCTACAGAGAAGCTGCCAACGTGCTGATAGTGATTAGATTCATTCCTTCACTCATTCGTCATCCATTCACTTGCTCATTTTTTTTTTTTTTCTGGTTTTGTGGAGGCAGGTTCTTGCTGTGTAGCTTGGGTTGGACTTGAACTCACTTTGTAGCCCTGGCTGGCCTTGAACTCGGCAATCTGCCTGCCTCAGCCTCCTGAGTGCTAAGATTATGTGAGCAGTGATTTTATTAGGCAGATGGGATTGTAAGTGATTTTTCTCCACTCTCCAATTTTTTATAATGTGGTAATAATTGCTTTATAATGAAAAAAATTTGTAATAAAAAAAATTATGAGGTGCCAGAAATCACAGGCTGCCCAGTAGCGCATGGCACCAGGTGATCAGGCACCTTCCATCTCCTGGCTTTTCCTTCATTCCTGGGAGCAGCTGACATCCGTCCGCTTGGCAATATGCAGCCAAAGGACAGGGGGACAGGAGCCAGGGCAGACTCGGAAAAGGCCCGAGATGGTCAGTCAAGTGTTTTTATGGTGGCATTTCTACAGTTGGCCTTTGTGACAGCAGCTTCTGCCAGGGCCATTTATCCAGGGAGATGAAAAGTGAAAAGTCAGTTCCAGATTGGACTGGGGTGAGGTTGGCTCGGCTCGGGTTCTGTTACCAGTTCCTGTCAATTCTTGCTTAGGGGAAAAAATTGTTTAATGTTTCAAAAAGCAAATCATGTTTTCTGGACCTGCTTACTTCTACAGCCATGTTTATTTAGAGAAAATACTGTATTAAAGTTATACTCTGGGCGGTCACATTGAAGTCATCCTCATGGCTGTTCTGTGACTGATCTGATCCTGTTCCTCTAAGTCCTCATTCTCCTTTTCTGTAGTGGGACTGTGCGCTTGAAGGCTCTCAGCTGGTCAGGGCTTTCAGGGCCACTGGAGGCTCAGCTTGGGCAGCGACTCCCTGTCCCTGACCTGACCCTTCCTGACCACACTTGGGAAGAGGACATTCCATGAGCGCTGAGTGACAAGAGCTGTGTCAGTGATACATGAAGGCAGCAGCTCCCACTGCCCACACCTGTGCTTGTCACACTCGCCTGCAGCCATCTCCTGACTGACCCCAATGCCACGGAGTGCAGGGGCCATGGCAGGCACATCGCGCTCTGGCTTTCTCATCACCTCCAAGCATTCACTTGTAAAACATCCAGATTGCACTTGAACTTTCTGCCTTCACAGCAACCTTTGTGCAGTGAGGTTGGGTGGCTCCTGGGGAGTCCTACCTGGACTGATCTGGAATGCTGCCATCCTCCTGTAATTTTCTACCCATTCATCCCATTGGTGCCCATCGGGGCCCTCTGATGTAGTACAGTGTTTTATCTGAGCCCTTCTGACACCAGAGAGCAGTGCTTGCGTGTCCTCTGAGTCACATCATCTCAACGAGGCAGAGTTTAGGCCAGGGTGGTTCTGTTCAAGTAACAAGAATTATTACTTAGCCCTACTCTCAAAGAGGAAATCGTCAGCCAGGTCAGCCCTGACCTTCATTCAGCTTTCAGCTGACTCAGACTCCCACAGTCCTGCAGGAAACTGGAGCATCTCACTTCTCTCTTCCTCTCCATGGTGTGTGGTCTGCCGTTGAGCATACTGGGGTTTTGCTACCAGGACTTAAGGATGAATGAATGGGAAAGGGGAGTGGCTGCTGCTGGGTTTGGGTTTCCTGTGGGGTGACGAGAGTGTTGTGAGTTAGATGGTTGACAGTTGCACAGTCTTGTGGGTATACTAAATGCCACTGAAGGCGAATGAATGAATGATGACCAGACAAGGAGAAATAAATGGACAAATCCTAACCTGTTGACCTAGGAGACTTTCTGGGAGTTGGAATTTACACCTTGCTCAGTTTAGCAGGCATCTTGGTAGAATGCCAGCTGGAATGCTGACCCGGTCATGTCCCTCTCGTCTCCTCCTGGCCACTTTCATCTCTGATCTGTGAAACCCAGCCAAGGGATGCCTGCCCACACCCCGTCCTCACCAGTAGGAGAAAGGCAGTCCTCCCTCTCCTGGGGAGACCACAGAGCCCGCCCAAGGGCCTTTGGGAAGCACCTCCCACTCAGCTAACACAGGCACCCATTTCCGAGTACACTACCCCATCACCTGCCCCACTGCCTAGCCTTCCTGTCCCCGAGAGGCTGGCAGCTGCTGGGGGCCTAGGCAGCAAGGGACTGGGACCGGCTCTCACAGCGGTGGCCTTGAGGGTTTCCCAGAATCCCTGGCTCTGTGGTTTCCTCTCAGAGGGTGTGCCCCACCTGCCCAGACTGTCACCCTTGGAGCTGAGAAGGAGGTGGGAGCTGGAAGGGCCTGCACCACTGTGTGCCGGTGGAGGCCTAGAATGGCTGTGTTACAGAGCAAGGGCAGAGGCTGACTCCCTGGCCTGCTAAAGGGAAGGAGAGGGGACCATGAGGCCTGGAACTTTTGCCTGAGAATGCTGGGGGCGGACTTCCTGCCCAGCTCTGCTCTCCCCACCAGGAAGGCCACCCCCATGCCAGTCACCCCGAGGTCTTATCTTTCCCCCTGCTCTGCTCCCTCCTCTCTGTGTGCAGATGTAAGTGTGTCCTCTTCTCCAGAGCCTTTCCAGCCCCACCGTGGCTCAGAGATTCACACTGTGCTCCCTGAGACAGAAGAGTCAGAAACCCCATGCTTCTCTGAAGCGCTTGCCTTGAGTCCCCAGACATCAGCAGCCTGGCACTCATCCCAATTCCCTCTTTGTCTGAGGCCAAGGTCCCTCTGCACTCTTGGTGTCACCCTGTGTCCAGCATCTCTCAGGACTCTTCCTACATGTCCCTCCAGCAGCAGCTGCTTTTTCCCCCTTTGCTTTCTGCCTCCAGCCTGGAGGAGGCTGGTCTCACACTGTGTCCTTTGCTTGGAGGTTTTGTGGCCATTCTCCCAGCCAGGATACCTCGAGCCCGTCCACCCCTGCCTTTCATGGAAAGGGACATTGTTCTGCCCATGT